TTACTGTAACGGAAAATAAAGTGATGGATCTACTTGGATCGGTGTTTCGAGATATCGCACTGTCTATTACGCTTCGTAACGAGTACCGATTTTCTTAAATTTTTTATACAGAATCCAAAATACTTGTCATGTACTACAAATATTATAAAAATTCAAAATTAGTGTTCAAAACTTATTCCGACCAATTTTTGGGTTTCGACACCGATCTGCCGCTACGGCGGCGGTTCATCTCGGTCAAGCTGGTTTTGGCCGATTTTGGCCAAATTTCAGGTAATTTTGATCATATCCATGCACAAAAATACGTTGGTAGTCTCGGTTGACCAGAAAATCATAAAAAATCGAACCTACCGGTGGGGGGGACCTCTGGGTGCAGTGGCTCCGCCGGTTCTCCTTTATGACTGAGGTTATTTCTTCAGCTAAACTGTACAGAAAAGAACGGTGAACACAATTATTGAAAAATCACGTAAAACGAAAATCAGGAAGGGACTCATTGGAAGGGTTTTGAGATTTTAGCTGCGGCAGTTCCGTCAGGCTTTCTCCGTAGTTTCCAACTCACTCGCTGTCTCTTTTACTCTGATTTGACCACATGAGTGCTCGAAATCGAATTTCGAGCGGATAGCAGAAATTTTTACTTTTTTTTGCGGTCGACATTGGCTTTGATCCGGCAACGCTCAGCGGTCAGTCTCCTTCTCCGACGTCTGAGTTTTCTTCTTTAGCAAAGGCTGGTGGCTAGGGTTTGGGTTCTCATGTGATGCGAGGTATTTATATCCATCTCGCATTGATCTAGCCCATCCATCGTGATCGATTTCGTCCGTCCGATCGTCCTAAGGAAGAAATGAATCTAGATCGTCTATCACGATTTGATCTCGACCGTCCGATCACGCTTAAGGGATAAACAAATCCGAGTCATCCACGTATGGGGGATCAATCCTGGGTCGTCCGATCGCGAGGCACGTGGATCGCATGCATAACATCTCGCGTGGCACCGACGTCAGCACGCCTCGCCAAGCAACGCGCTCCGGTTCGTCAGGCCTGCTGATTAGGCGGTCCTACATAGCATAATTTTTTATATTTGCACTCTGATCCCATGTTTTCAATTTTTGTTTCAATAACACTTTTTAAACTCAAAATTTCACCCTTTTTTTTAAATTATTTTCGATTTCATTCATAACTTATTTTTTTTTAATAAATTCAACAAAAATTAAAATAAATTAATTTAAAAATAAATTTTTATATATTTTTAAATGTTAAAATTAATATCGGACCAAATTTCATAACCGAGAATTACAATACTCACAATTTTATTAAGTTAAAATAAAATTGTATATGTAATGTTTCTTTTTTGAGTAGTATAGTTCAATAATTTGAGAAACACCTTTACCCATATGATCGGTATATGGCATGACCGGTTACAATGCTCTGCAAAAGACATGATCTTCACCAATTTGTTTTTATAATTTGGAAAGCATATGGAATCCAATAGGGTTCCAAGAGATTCATTTAGGAGAAAAAGGTGAATCTTTGATCAAAACTTTTGAATCTGATCACATTTAATAATGCTTTAATTATAAAATATATATATATATATATGTTCTTTAAACTAAGCATGTGTACACCATGATTTAAAATTAATTAACATGTCCAAAAATAATAAATAGGTTAATTAAAAATTGATTTTAAAAAGTTAAAAAAAAATTATGGAACAATTTAAAA